TGTACTATCTTTATCCAATAAATTACATATGGTATAAAAAATTAATTTAAAATTATAATTTTGTATTAATACTATTATATTTAATAATTAAGAGAAAGGGTCATACATTTGAAGCATAATGCGACTTGAGATCTGCCTATGTTACAATTTTGTGTGTTTAGATACATATATACATATCAGAATAGTACATGGAGTAGTCAACAATTTAAATAATTTAATGGTATTTTTTTTTTTGTGAAAGTAAAAAGTATTAAGTTCGAATCATATGACATGCAAGTGGGGTGCAATTAAGGAAGAAGAAATAATTGTCTCCAATTATATAATTCAATATCAAAAAGTAAAAAAGAAAAGAATAGTGCATAGAGTCTCAATTTAAATAACATCGTTTCATTTCCATTCTGACCATTCTAGATATAAAAAGTCAAAAATCTATCTCATTAAATAGTATATATTGATTTAACGTTAAATATGGTGAATTTTTGAATTTTGAATTGGATTTTCATTAAATGAAATGAGTTGTTTAAGGTTGAGACTCTAATTCTTTTTTTGACATTAGGCCTAATATGTATTATTTGCAATATATATACAGCAAGATTCACCTACATACAACTCTTACATATATCACTTAACTTTTATCCTATTTTTTAATGAAAATTGTCTTTTTTATTTAAAAAGTCAAATAAATTTCGACCATTTGTAATAACGAAATAAATAGTTAAGATTTTATTTGAGTGCTATAAATAAAAGTTGTGTGTAAGGTGGTCTTGGGATATTTGAGATTTATGCATATTAGTTATTTGAAGTTAATTTTCATGCCATTTCTTTGGAATCATTGTGATTCATTGTTTAATTACTTTCTATTAAAGAATACAAATTTTTCACGAAGCTAGAACTGCACTTTTGAGGTTGAGTTTTCCAGCTTTCTAGCATTGATGCTTTCGTCGATGAATATGCAACAAATATTCCAAAAACAACTTTTAACAATGTCTTCAGTTGTTCATAGTATAAAAGATCTGCTTCTGAAGGGATGTGGTAATTTGAAATATCTGTTTACATCCTCAATGATTAAAAGTCTTGTGCAACTCCAATCGCTTGAGATTTGTGATTGTGTGATGATGAAAGAGGTAATAGTAAATGAAGGATTAGCAGGGGAAGAAAGTTTGTTGTTAGCTAAGCTTGATACCCTAACTCTTGAAGGCCTTCCCAAACTCACAAGATTCTGCTCTGGAATTACTTTGAGTTTCCCTTTCTGAGATGCCTTCATATAATCAAGTGCCCTCTGTTGGAGACGTTCATCTCCAGTTCTAATGTTGGGGAGACGAGTCACATGACAGAAAGTAAAATAGTAGAAGGTACTT